ATAACAACCTTAATTCCGTTTCTTCTACTTCATATTTCTGCTTAGCGCTCTGCAGTGTATTCTTACTTACATCTTTACCATCTGCACCTGTACAACCCGACAAAACGTCCAGAATTGTACTGTGAGAACCAAAGTCAAGAACCAGATTCGGCTCCAGTAAGGTTCTACCCATGGGGACCAATGCATGAAGCTAGACCTTTCCTGCAGGTGGTTCACCACCATGAGATGTAGACTCTTTGCAGATTTTCTTTGAATTTGACAATGGTTTAGGCTTCAATCTCTGTAAGCTATCTTTAAGTTAGTTTGATTGTAAATATAATCCATATTTCATTAAACTATCTATGAAATTTAGGTTCAAGCCATGTTCAAGTTAAGTCAGTTACACTAATAGATTGCATACAAGGACAGCAGTTTGATAATTTAACACAAGTGTTATCTTTGAATACATATGGATTTTGTTTGTAATATATTTTTTTCTTGCGTTTTATACCGCTTTTCGTTTTAGAATACATGTTCGACGCACGGATAAACTAATGGTTGAAGCTAAATTCCATCCATTGTCCCAGTACATGGCCAGTGTGGAGGAGTGGTACGCGAAGAAAATACTGAGGAACGCCTCGTTCGTGCCTAGTGGTACTAAAAGGAGAATTTACCTGGCCACCGACGACTCTTCGTTGCTGGCCGAAGCTCGGACTCAGTATCCGTATTACGAATTTATCGGTGACTCAGAGATCGCCAAGAGCGCTGCCGTCCATAAACGCTACAGCGAAGAGTCGCTGCAAGGCATAATCACCGATGTACACTTTTTGGCCCGTTGCGACTATCTCGTCTGCACGTTTTCATCACAGGTCGGTTCTCAGCGAAGTTCGTTTCTGAACAGCTGAACTTGGGGGGGGGGCATTTTGCTTTGTATTACTAGAAGATGACAACAGTCAGAACTTCGATACTCTTATTTTCTTCGTTCATGTTTTGAAAAGATGGGGAACGATTATAATCTGTTAAGCAAGTGCGGGGCTGAAATGCAGTAGGAGATTTTTGACAAGAGTTTTTGTATAATACACGCGTCATTTTGATGTAGAACCAACGAATCAGTATTAGCTGGAGAGATCTGGCAGGCAGTTCGAGGCATAGTATGAAGTATAACTTTATCGCGTATTACGTAAGTACTTATATTGAAGTTCACTGGATACCGGGCAACGTCAATCGGAAAGGATTGCTTTGCAGGGTGAAGTACAATGGAGTGCGTTCTCCCCAGTCGCTATGGTGGCACGAAGGCTTCTCATGAATTCTGAAGCACACAGCTGACTAGGTTCTGGTGAAGCTGTTTATGGCCAATTACCGATTCCTCGAATTTTTTCTTTGATTACAGAAACCGTAGAGAATTTATCATATGGACCGGATTTCATTGGTTACAGACTCGAAATTTGCACTAACTATAATTATGGACCTCAGTAAGTTTCAATACAAGGAATATGATCTTTAATGCAAAATGTGAAAGTTTGCCACGCGAACGTGCCGATGTTAAACAGACCTGGACAGTCTACAGTGATTGAAATACACGTCGGCAAATGATATTCGATACTTGTTTGAATGTTTCAGAATGACGTCAAACGGGATAGAACGAAATCGGGTAGTGGAAGGAATTTCGTCCGGTTTAGTCGAGAAATTTTAGGGGTTGTTTAGACAGAGTGTCACAGAAGAAGCCTGGTATGCAATGGTACAAGGAAGCGTAGCTTTTCTCTTTTCACTGTGTAATAGGCAGTAGAATACAAGCTGAGGCCGTTGGTTGGGCGGAAGGGTGTCCTAACGTTAATGTAAAAAATAAAAATTGCTACTGGCCTGTGAAAACCGCAGAGGAATGAAGCTGATCTGTCAGTCTATAGATGCTGTATCGAAGTAAACATACTGCAGATAAACTTAAGGAAGGAGTTTGATATCATGGAAACCAGTTTGAGCTTCTTCCGGGCAAAAGAAATGAAGGAAAGAATGTTTGTTTCGTGACGGGGCCATTTATTGTGCGTTTCTTTTCGTAAAGTTAACGTTGGTGCGCTGATCTCTTTTTCCATGCTCTCATCCTAAAGCGCCTTATTTTTTAAGGGCAGAGTCGACAGTAGCTATGTGACATGCGACGTGCGTAGTCTCCTGAGTACTTCCCACAGAGTGGTTCCCATTTATCAGCTGACGAAAGGCGAGGGAACCGAGTAACCGGTACCCGAATCCACGACTTCTCGATTCACAGACTGAGGCTCTATCGACTGAATAACCCCTTT